ATTATAACTAAAGCCTCAACTTAACTGGGCTCATTACCGTTTTATGCTTCCCAGATCAATGCCGTTGACTGGTGATTGCCGGTGGTAAGTGATCGATGGAACTAGCTGAGAGACAGGAAAAACGAAGTACGTGCATGTTGTGGCGCGGAACGCGTTAGCCCCCGGAAGGGGAAGCGGAGTGTTCGCTCCCCACAGCAGAAACCTGGTGTCTAGTAAAGCTGGACACTTAAAGCTTAGTAAAACTGCGCTTCTTATATTCTTCGCACTTGTGCATATATTTGAATGCATATACATATCAGTACGTCATACTGTCGTTGATCAGTTCTGTATGGCGTAGCTTAGCGATGAGATTCCTCGTAGGTCCTATGTCGTTTCAAACGTCGTTCATTATTAAGTATGTATTTACACTGCCATTACACCATTCCTGTGAAGTTTCCTGGCATAGTCTGCCTTCTGGTATAATTCAAAGTAGCGTCTACCGTTTCGGTTCATCAGCCTTAATTAACTTGACTTTTTTGCTTATCTGTAATGTTATGCATTGTCAGTACACAGCAAGATCTCTCATCTGAATCTCAGTCATACCAGCTATCGTTTCCTCTGAGGTACGCGAACAGAAAGAATGCGCGTCTGCACATCTTTGGATGTTAGCAATCTGAAATCTCATTGGTTTAGAATAAAAAGGGAGAAGAACACTGATGGGACATGTGAGGGAGCTCCGACAATCACTGCACAATTGAAAGATGCATTCAGCCGTCTCTCCGATGCTTAAATGTAGGGAAGCGTAGCTTATCCGAAAGCAGTTGATTAACACCGAACGATTTGTCCTTGCATTTATCCCTTACGCCAAAAATCATCACATTTTAACGCAGTCCAGGAGGGCGATTCACCTTATGAATGGAAATATGCGTGCCACAGACTTCGACTTCGAGCTTCGACTAGGCCCGTAGACGCTTTTGTTTTTAAATCCTCCACACTCCACAGTGCACCAAGAAGAACGACTAAAGAACTTCACATCAGTACCTAAGGATTAGAATTAAACGCAAAGGGTGAGCGGCTTTCCGAGTTTGTCATGACGACCAAGAACTCTCAAGGTATGTCGCAATTCCAGATCCACCACCCTCAACGCTGGGCGTGGGAGTCTCAAAGCGCAGAGTACCACAACGAAACAAACCACATCATAGTAAACAAAAAGTTTTCCCTTACCGATGTAGCTGTTGTTCCAAAATTCTACACCGGGAAGCGGAGCATCGCCTTTTTCGTGCAAAATTCTATTCTTCGCGTAAAGGGGAAAAAACCGCCAAAATCAAAAACGATGTTATAGTCCCAAAACCAACATAAACTGGAACTTATTCAATTTGCAAGTCGGTTGTTGGGAGGATGCCGTTCTCGAGAAGAGCACGATCGGCTCATTCAACATCTTCACACTAGTGCTATGAAAGCTGAGATTTTAAATTTCCCCAAGAGGCGTCACTCACATTCCGTCATGTGAAACAAAGGAGTATGGATATGTTGTGCCACCGGTTCTTCTTTCCGAAATCCGACATGCCATTTCGTCGGTGAAAAATCGAACAGCACCATGCCTGGACAGATTAAACCAGAAAACCTGAGGAACCTCCCGCACATCTTCGTAAGCACACTGGCTCGGCTCTTCACAGGTTATCTATCTGAAATCGAGGTTAATACTCATCGGGATACTTTACCAGGTAGAACACTGGACCAAGAACGGCCATGTGAGCAATTAGCGCCTCGAAAGAGATTGTGCGACGGACCACATCCACACGACAACAACGTAGTATCGCGAGAGCACAAAAGACCGCGCTGTCTCACCTTCATCGATTTAAAAAAGATCTTTGATTTAATTGAGATAGAAGCAGTCATAGAAGCCCTTAAGAGTCAAGTAGTCTTTACACAGTACATAAAGATTCTTCGTAAGCTGTACTATTATTTCACAGCCAACATATCACCATTCCACAGCGATATTAACATTGACGTCAGAAGAGGAGTTAGGCAGGGCGATACCATTTCGCCAAAATTATTCACCGCCATCCTCGGAAACGTCATGCGAACGTTAGAATGGATAATATGGCAGTGATAACCGATGGCCAGCAGTTACACAATCTTGGCTTTGCTGATGACATCGTCCTTATTACAACAAACATTAGCCAAGCTTAACGGCTTTGATAAAGCATGCGGAAGGATTGGTCTTCGACTAAATCTTACTAAAACGATGTTCAGGACGAACGGATTGGTTTCGTATGCCCCATTGATGCTCAACGAAGCGTGTATCTCAGAATGCTCCAGTTATATCTAACTAGGTCAAGAACTCAATATGATGTATGACCTAGCTCCAGAGCTGAGCAGAAAAAAACGAGCTGCTTGGGGACCTTTCAAGAGCATCGAGGATGTAGTGAAGAAAACAAAGAACACCCGACTCCGTCCCCATCTTTTCGACTCAACGGTACTTTTTGCCCTAACCTACGCGTCACACACCTGGTCACTGCGTCAGCAGGATGATAGCTCACCTAGCGTTATCGAACATGAAGTCGAAAGGAGGTTGCTAGGAGTATCCCGTTCCAGAGAAGCATATAATAACGATAACGTCATGATAACGTCGTGATATAACGTCATTCCTCTGAACAACGCCAAAGTATTTTCAGTAGGTGTCTCTGCTTTACGCGCATATTCTGTTGCCTTTACCTTTGATAAATTTAGAAAGTGGAACACGAAGATGGGCTATTCAAGTATAGAAGAGTCTAAATAATAAGTTGATTGGTCATGTACAAATTTTGTTTCCCACGATCGTTCATATTATCTCTAAAATATAGCCTATTCAACGGCTTCTGAACGTGTTTCTTAGCACGGCTTGTAATCCAAGTGCGGCTATTACACCAAGCGTGACAGAATTCCAATAACTGCTCAATCGTGGAAATCTAACAATTCCTTTGAATGCGTAGGCCGCATAGTCTTTTATTTTTTCGAGAGTTGCCGGTTCACACGACTGCATCATTTCTTTTATAGCGCAAATACGATTTCATGAAAATGCGATGAGCCGTGCTTGGAAAGAGAGACAATCGATATACACAAGATGATCAAGGCTTCATTCGTCATAAGGCACCAAACTGTTTGAACACTTATTCTGGACGTGACCACCAGCTTGTTTCTCATCTTCTGATTAATACTTTATGAATTTTTTAAGGAGAATAGCGGATGTCTCAAAGTCGTCAGCTTCTTCAATTTCTTCTTGTCCAGTATCGATCAGCAATAGACAGGAACTGATGCACAACCTGTCGTTCTTCAAATTATAAAAGTCAATATTCTGACCAGCAAATTAATGGTTCTTCGTTCCAAGTTGTAACGGGAAATTAATGTTATTGTGTGTAATATGAGAGCACAACTATGCTAAAAAGGTGAGAGATAGTGCAGTGGTAGTGATGCAGGTCATCATGAGCACTGTGCCGATTCGATGCTGCTCCGGGTCCACCAGGCCTGTCATCACCTCGGGGTAGGAAAATTGGTGCCGGAGTTGTTCGGGAATAAATTCCTCTTTGCAAACTGGTTGGGACCGCTCCAGCCTGCCTATCTCAGGACTTTTGAGAGAATCGACTCAACAAGCATTTTACGACATTCAAGATGGAGCGGAAATCTCCAAGCAGTAGCCGAAGCCACACATAAAAGTAAGAAAACCTAGTCAGATGACAGATGTGAGAAAATGAATAGAATGTGAGAAGTGCTGAGATCCCCATTGTAAACGTAAAAACGGATCGTCTAAGAAATTTTATCTTTTATGGAAGCTTTGTAATTTCGCGAAATAGAAATTTTTGCTATTTTTGTCTTACAAGATAAACTGAAAAGTAATAAAACGTTGTGCTAAAAACAAAGTACTTTCTGCATGTATTACTAGGGAGCACATGTAGCATAGTGGTTTGAATCTTCGTGCAGCACACATGTGGTCTTTGGTTCGATCCCATTTCCCGAGCTCAGCAAGGCTTTTACCGTTGCGGTTTAGCAAATTGGTGCCAGAACTGAGGAGAGATGGCAACCATGAGGATCACAACAAACAGCACGCCTTCGTATCAATGCATACGCGGCGAGAAATTTCTGCGGCCCTAGGTTATGCCCATGTAAAATTATCCGTCGTTGCGACTGAGTCAACACTATGATAGAGCACTGTTTCCGCCATGTAATGATCAAGAAGGGTGGTGGGAGCATAATATATCATGCGAGCAAGCAGCTTGAATTGAAGAACGCATATGTTCTGGAAAAAAGGCTTAAGCAAGAAGAAATAGTTTAGGAACTCAACAATGATCCTTGTATATTCTCTGAACAAGGTGGATTGCCTTGGCGTTTTGAACCACTTGTTGTTCGCCTGATGTTGAGAATGAGGAAGATCAAGAAATACGGTATGAAATTGACACATGCAGATGATGCGAAGGGTCTAGAAATGTCTTGGAATATAAGGAATTCAGGAACTTACATGACTAAGTGGTGCCTAAGAAAATGGGAAAGGTTAAAGATGTGGTAGGGTGGAGGAATGTATTGAAAACAACACTAAGCACTGCGAGGTGTTATTGTTCTTTGTTCACGATTAAGCTGACGTTTCGGCCAATTTCGCCTTCTTCAGAGCCTGGAAAGGTCAAGTTGATAGCAATCCACTCGGCCAGACGCCTCCATAACCAAACAAAGAAACCCCAAACCAAGATTTCAATCACTTTGAACACAGCTTTGCACACTCACCGCTTTCTATGAGGTCTGCACTAAGTATGTCACGTAGAGACCAACCGCACAGAAATAACGTGGAAGTATAATGTGCCCCTCACATCAGAAAAGCAGCTTTATATACTGCCCTATATCACGCGTGATAATGAGGCATTCTTCCCTGCGGTTCATTTTCGGATTTCTGGAATTAATCCAGAGTGCCAACAGACAGGATAACATGGTTTTTAACCCTAATATTTAACCAGCTGTTGAAACACATTCCAGCCCATCTTACGAATACCCAGATGTTTCTGGATCGTCTACGTACTGCGCAGCCCAACAGCGCGTGCGTGATGGAGTCCTTCGACGTTACCGCCCTTTATACAAACGTGTCGAATGACTCCGCAATGCAAGCCATATTCGAACTCCTTACACAACACGAACGAGAAATAAACATGTATGGCTTCAGGATAGAGCACCTGATGGCACTCTTAAAGGAATGCTTGAGCTGCTCAATCTTCAGATGGTCTGGAAAGAACTACGCTCAAATAAGAGGGTTGGCAATGGGACAACGACTGGCTCCAAGCCTTGCCATTGCATTTATGTCTAAGGTGGAAGCACCGGTTACTGATCTCGGGCCGCTACTCTACTGTAGGTATGTAGACGACTGCTTTGTCCTTTGCTCAACACAAGAGGNGTTGAAACACATTCCAGCCCATCTTACGAATACCCAGATGTTTCTGGATCGTCTACGTACTGCGCAGCCCAACAGCGCGTGCGTGATGGAGTCCTTCGACGTTACCGCCCTTTATACAAACGTGTCGAATGACTCCGCAATGCAAGCCATATTCGAACTCCTTACACAACACGAACGAGAAATAAACATGTATGGCTTCAGGATAGAGCACCTGATGGCACTCTTAAAGGAATGCTTGAGCTGCTCAATCTTCAGATGGTCTGGAAAGAACTACGCTCAAATAAGAGGGTTGGCAATGGGACAACGACTGGCTCCAAGCCTTGCCATTGCATT